GGGGCAGCGGGGTCTCGGGGACTGGGCATGGGAGCTCCCTGCTGCTCCCTCCTGCCCTTGGGGCTCCAAGCGTGGCCTGGCTTTGCGGATAGATGCCCACATGCTCCAGAGGTGCCTTTCCCCAGATCCTGGCAGCTCCAGCTTCTCTCGGCCGTGCTCTCCCAGGCCTGTACTGTGCCGGGTCCCGGCTGCCAGCAGACGCCGGTGGGCAGGCTTCAGCCCAGGCCACGGCTGCCCATGGCCCCACGCAGCGTGTTTGCCCAGTGAGCCGCTTGCGGCACTGGGGCGGCCGTCCCTCCCCCTCTTCCTGCCACCACGGGCGAGGAACGTCTCCCCGCGGTGACGAATCCAGCTGAATCCGGGCGCAGGCTGCGATGCAGTCAGTCACCAAGGGAGATTGTACCACGTGCATCCCCGCAGCCGCGGGGAACGGGGACCAGGGCTTCTCTGCTAGGTTCCCCACAGCCCCCTGGGCTTGGCCCCGCTCTGCAGGGGCTCTGGCAGTGCCTGGGTGGGATGGAAAGCACCCTTTGGATGTGACCCTGTGCAAATCCACTCACAAAGGGGTGCCCGGCTGCCCCCGAGGGATGTGCTCGGGGGTCATGGTGCTCCCCGGCAGGGAGGCAGGCATGGCACCCTTGGGTGCGGCAGAGGAGAGGGGAGCTGTGACCAGTAGAGCCGATGCTGATGGATGTCCCCTGGCTGGCTTGTGAGCCTGTGACCCCAGGGCCATGCCCCAGGGGTGGCAGCCTGTCCTGGGAGCAGCCCAGTCCTGCCCCAGCCTGGCACTGCCTTCCCAGCACTGATCATTAACCACCCTTATCGGGTGGCAGATTCAAGGACCCACATGGGGACTGTTGTCCCCAGGTTGAGCAGAGCATGGCTGGGGCCATGCTGGAAGCAGCGGGGCTTGGACCTGCTGAGCAGGGGGGCTGGGACCTGCTGCCAGCCGCTGCAATGGCACTGTATCTCAGCAGAGCCCTGTGCTTGGCAGTTTTACTTGTCCCTACTGTCCCCTCTTGGTCTTGCCTCCCCAAAAGACCCATCAGGCCCTCTGTGCACCTCTGGGGTGGGCGAGGGATGTGCCAGCCTGTGCCGGGGGTCAGTGCCTGGTGTGCCTAGTGCTGGCAGAGGACATGTGCCTGGAGACACCAGCCCAAGCGATCTGCAGAGCATTTCAAGGATGGTGCCAGCTTGGGCGGTCAGAGGCGGGTGCTTGAGTCCAGCAGATGCTGAGGGGTCCCTGGGATGGGTGCAGAGCATGCTGGGCACATGCAGGGCAGGGAGGGACCGATCCAGCCCTAGTGCTGCCCGTGTCCCGTTCACCCTGCCATGCTCTGGTGCATCGCAGCTGATGTCCCGGCGCATTTATGGCCCCATCTGGAAGTCAACCTTTGGGCATTATGAGAACATCAACATCGGGAGCCCGGTAGTGCTGGAGCAGCTGCTACGTCAGGAGGGCAAGTACCCCATGCGGAGCGACATGGCCCTGTGGAAGGAGCACCGGGACACCCGGCGCCTGCCCTACGGACCCTTCACCGAGTGAGTCCTGCCCTGGCTGTGCTCCGCAGGGCAACAGGCAGCTTCTGTCCCTTCCTTGGGTGTAGGGTCTGGGTGGCAGCTCACGTTGCTCCCTCTCCTGCAAGCAGCGTGTCCCCACTAAGCAGAAGGGCATGGCCATGGAGGGAGGAAAGACCCCCGGGGTGGTTCCAGTCTGGTGTTCGGAGGATGCTCCCAGGGATTGGGAAGTTGCTGCCAGCCACTGCCCCTTGCCCAGCTGTGCCCCCGGCGCTGAGCCCTGTCCCCGCGCAGGGAAGGGGAGCGCTGGTACCGCCTGCGCTAGGTCCTCAACAAG